CAGTAACTCTCTACCTTGAGTGGCCATGTCTTGGTTGAATTCTAGAATGAAAATAAGATAAATAATTTGTGTTTGTCAGGCACCAGTGATTGAAACTTGAGGCCAACAATACATTCTCACAGAGTTAATCTCCCCCCACCTGAAGCATCAATATTTGCCAAAAAGAAACAGAGGAGAATGAAAATCATTCTCAAGTAGAGTCCAAATTGTAATAATAATAAGTCATGATAAACAAATACTTAGTATTCAACATAATGATATCTGACATCTTCTCTTTTGATGAGGTTTTCGTAAAGTAAAGATGTCTCCTTAAATTCCAACAATATATTGTTGTAGCTGATTTAAGAGGTTTCTTGTTCTTTTTTTAACAAATGTTTTGCTATATTCCTCATTAAGAAAATCAAAATTATTTCAAGTAAACCATTTTTATACACTTTAGTTTTTATCAAATCAATATTTATGCCTTTGTTCCTACCTTATTTATATAATAGGCTTATACTTCTTCTCTCTTTAATATAAAACCTCATACTCATTAATTGTTTTTTTTCTTTCTTATTCCAATCATTGCAGTGTTATTCCTTTATCTAGTTTTTTTGCATCTTCTTCTTTTATATTCAATATCTATTCAGGATGTGGCCAATCATGACTCTCCACTGCTTCTTGTCTTTTATTGCTCTAAGTAACTTTTCACATTTTACCATCTCTCTATGTCTCAGTTTTGACTACATTTACACAAACTTGTATGTTTTCATAGTTTCCCATCCCCATTACACTTGTCTTCATGTGGATGTTAAATTCTCTATTCCCCTATTTTCTCATTACATATCCTAGAAATAACACTTGCTTTTTCTGATTGTAAGTATGAGTTTCGTTGTAGTTCCTATAAAACCTTCCTTAAAACTTCCTTATTGCTTACATGTTCTGTCCATGGTATTTTCATCATTTGCCTCTCCAAGTCTCTACTTCATTTGTGATGAGATTGTCCAGCATTCAATGCTATTTATGTAAACAACAAATGATATGAACACAAGTCAGAAGTTGTCAGTGAGTTACTGTGGAACATTGATTCAAATATATTCCTCGTTTCTATGCCATGAAATTGTTCAGTAGACATTGTAAAATAGATGACAGTAAGTGTGTATGCAAGTGTGTGATAAAATTCAGGAATATGAAGGTTAATAATCCATGGAAGACAGGGGACATTTCCAAAGAGGCTTATAAGAAAATTGGAAGAATTAGAGATCTAAGATTTAAGATGATTTTGATGAAAACAGTGTTGAAGTCAACAACAATAAGAACAAATTTTGAGGAGATTTGCTGTCACTCTGTCTTTAATGATGAGCAGCAAAAACTTCTTAGAGAAAGATGAATAATAATAATAATAATAATAATAATAATAATAATAATAATTTACTAGAAAATTTTAGTGTTCCTATTTTAATTTTCTGATGAATCTTACTTCTTAAGTTAATTATTGAATAAGATCATGGCATGTTGTACGACAAAAAATATCCTTAGAAATTCCCCTATTGCATCGATAAATATTTGAATTCAAAAACTTTAACAAAAATATTACAATAACAATCATAAATATGAATGCTGGTTTTTAGAAGTAAGGGGGTACAAACGAAAAGATTTGAAATTGAAAACTTTTTCAATTCACTGAAACAGATGTTAAACAGTTTTTTTCTTCTTCATTTTCTCTCTTAAAGCAAGTTGTATCTCTGACATGTCTTTTTGATCTTTCCACTTCAATCAAAATATGGATTAGAGTCCATTATTTATTAGATATTGGCAGGGTATAGCTGTCATGCTAAGTGACTAAGGAAGTGAGGACAAGCAGAATTATAAGATAGTAATAATAATAATAATAATAATAATGATGATGATGATGATGATGATGATGATAAAATTTGTTGTGCCAGGAGTGACTCAGTAAAAAAAACTCCTTAAGGAACTGGAAATCCAAGGAAGAATGATGTCAGTACAGACAACAGCATTACTGAAAAAAGGCAATAATACTGAAGAGACTGCTGGAGTATTGGTGAGTCATGCTGTCACTTGATCTTCAATATATCAATGTAAGTGGTGAAGAAGAAGAAGAAGAAGAAGAAGAAGAAGAAGAAGAAGTTGTTGTTGCCTTGAATGCATAACAGTGTCTTGTGCATTAAAATGGCATATTTTTCCTGACTTTTATTTCATGTAGAAATAATCAGTAAGATTGCAATCCTAATATAAATGTCATTCACTCAAAAGGATTTGAAGATAAGTGGTTTTTAATCATCACTAAATATTCATTTATTCAGATCAATGCTGTCAGTTTTTGTTTTTTTTAGCTTTTAGTTAACAGTAGATTCATCAATACATTGTCTGATCATCTTCAACTGATTTGGTTCTATGCCATTTAAAAAAATGATCTGTTTTTTCTTCAAGCCAAGCTGCCTAAAACTTTCTCATTAGGATGGTCTGTAGACAAAAATGTCTGCTGTATTTTTGGTAAATATTCCATGAACAGAAGAATTATTTCAATTTTTTTGAAACAATAAAAAAATAATTTCTTAGAAACAAAGAAAAGAGTATTGAATTGTTCTGTGAAATCTGTCCCACTGTATGGCAGTGACTATTGGACAATTTCATCAAAGATAAAGATGAGGCATGAAACAGCAGAAATGTTTTTCTACAGAAAGATGATGAGGATATCATGGAAAGAATATGTGAGCAACAGTGAGGTTTAAGAGAAAATGGAAACAAAAAAGAAACTTGTACTTAACATCAGGAAGAGACAGTTTGAAATTTCTGGGGCATATAATGAGGAAGGATGGCTTGGAAAATTTGTTACTCACAGGACAGATTGCAGACAAAAGGGAAGAAGGAAAACAACACATAACATACTTGATTAGCATAAGAAAATGGATTGTGGAACACGGTTTAGAAATAATGATATGACAGAGCTTATGGAAACTGTGGAGAACCATGTTCGCTTACATCCTGAGGTGACACGGCACCTAAAGGGAAAGAGAAATTCTTTTAGTTCATGTATGATGAAGGATTCATATATATATATATATATATATATATATATATATATATATTAAAAACAGATCACTTTTTGTTTAATAAGTATTTTTTTCACCACAGCCATTTTAAGGATGTGGATCATCTTTTACTTCCAAAGGTTGTTCAACCTTAAAGTAAAGTCTGATGATCCACAATCTTTTTAAAAGGGCTGTGGTGAAATGAAATAATTTATTACATGGAACCTTAAAGTGGTCTGTTTTTATTTAAATTATTTGCTCTGGATTTACATTGAGCTCTCTGATTTTATCCTCCTTGGGTTTACCCATACGGATTACCTAGTTTTTCATAAACTATATATATATATATATATATATATATATATATATATATATATATACTATTATTCTAATAGTAATACTTGGTTGGTAAAAAACCTTGGATAGCACGTCTTGCAAGTATATCAAAACAAATTGGTACTCAAGGGAAAAAATGGGGAAAAAAAAAGAACTAGAAAAATCCGAACAGGACAAAACAAATGCCTTAAGTGCCTTAAGTTTTTAGTCTAAAGAAAAATCCCCAAGTGAGTTATAAAGCTAAAATGTAGAGTGCTCAATACACTAAGCAGAGCTGGGATAAATAAAATAAATCCTAAAGAGCCATGAACAACTTACCTAGGTTTCACCTAAACGGATCTCCAGGGTAATTACCCTGAAGATCCGTTTAGATGAAACCTAGGTAGGTTGTTCCTATGCAATAAATATGATTTACATTTATTTTATAATTACTGCCATGTCACCATATATTGGTGACAAAATGAATTCTGCAAATATGACTAATATTGTTGTTGAATTAATAATGCTTTTTTATACCTACTATACATTGATAAAATATTCAAGTAAAAGTTAAGAGAAGCAGAGTGCCATATGCCTTTTCCAATATATGACATGGAAGACAATGTGTTAAATTAAAAATTCATTTCACTAGCCAAAGGAGACTGGCTTATGGTTTAATTTATTAATTTATTTACTAGCCAATCACTGAGCAGTTTTTAGTAGTGAAAATGAATATATTTTTAATTAAATCACTTTTACCTGCTATCATCATCATCATCATCACCATCACCACCATCATCATCATCATAATCATCAGTTCCATGATCAGGTGTGATCAGAAGGTTGCTGCACAGTGGAGCACCTGACCAGTTCTCTCTACATACCTGAGTTGAAAGCCAGAGAGGTATTCATTTATGTGTAACATGCCTTTGGCAGGTAGGTCAAACCCAAGCTTCAGAGAAATCCTCCACCTTGGACACTTGTCTTCAGTCATACCATATCATCAACATGTACTGGTGGCACACATAGCTATGGATCCCAGACTACCCCATCATCCTAGATGGCCATTGATCCTACAATAAAGTTCATTCACCCTTGTTTTTTAATTATCTACCAGTGTCTAGTCCCCCTCCTCATCAGCAAAGCCTCATGAAAGAAACAGTTTAGCCACCAATGATCCAAACATGTAACATGCATTACTGGGTTACATTTATTAGTGAGTCCTTAGCCTCTTTTTTTTTTTTTAAATAACATATCCCTTTAGGACAAAGGCAGTCATAGTTCATCACACATCTTAGAAAAGATAGGGGAGTGGTTTCCTGTTATCTTCTCCATGATTTTGAATTCAAAGTTTTCCTTCTCTTAGAATAGTTGCCATCTAAGGTTAAAGAGTCTTATGTATCCTGCTATTGAACCCACAACTAAAGAGAATGGAAGAGATGGTTTCATGTTTTTTCCAAGAACATTAGTGTGAAAAGGAATGCAATATATTAGGTCAGAACTTGAACTCAGTTCAAAGATTTCACTTTCTGTGCTGATAAGCGTTACACTTGCTTCATGTTCCAAGTTCTTCGTTAATAGTTTTATAATAGATTTCAATAAACATAATTGACTTATTTCAAGAATGTTCCTTTTAATTCCAGGCTGACATCCACATCATCTTGAAACACTGCTTCCCATATGATCACCGTAGTTAAGCAACATCGAGTCTGGTCGATACCTAGATGGTTAGCCACTTGGGAATATCAGGTGCTGTCAGCATGGATGTGCAGTTGGTGTAATGAATAATAGCTCGAAATTGTTAATTGGAGATCCAAATTCCAATTCCTTTTGGGCGCGTTATATAAAGGACACTATGGTCTTAAGAAAAAAAAATTGATGAATAACAGATTTTTACAAGAATTCTTTTTATTTTTAAAAATTATTATTGGAAAATTTATTAAGTTTTAAATATTTTAAAATTCTGTATTAATTTCATCCTTTTTAGACGATATTATTAAGTGAAAATTATATTTGCTGATCATAAATCGAAAAGTTTAATACAAATTATCAAACACCAATATTTTTAAAAGAGTTTTGAATTTTTTTGTGTGTATAAATGTGTCGATTTTTGTAAGTACGGGAGACCATACATGGCATTATCAGAAAATAAAAGCGATAACTATAGTAAATTTAAAGTTAACATTTCTAAAATTCAATAAAATATTAGATTACGGAAAATATTTTCACATTTTTTTAAGATTACTGAGTACTTAAAAATTATATAAAAATGTTCTCGTGTCATTTTCTTCAATTATGTTTTACAGATAAAGTCTCCGTAGAATATCATTAGACCTGTCATTAGACTGTCCACATGTCAAGACAGCTACTGTTGGGTTAAAATGCATTTGATATTTTAAACTTAAGGTAAGTTTATTTCAAATCAGATTAATAATACTTTAAATCAGCTAATATTCATCAAAATATATTTTATTTTCGGAAGATTTTTTAATAAAGACAATTACATTGCTATGAAAGACGATTTAAAAAGCTAATCAGCTATTTAAGAAAAAAAAATTCATGCCAGTCAATTTAAATTAGTTTTTGAAATTGAGCAAAGTATTTTGATTATTGGAAATAATAAATTTAATCTATTAGTTTGAAATGAAAACTAAAAGATTTAAGAAAGATTTTTCATTTTTAAAAATTCATTTTAAACTCTAAATATCGCGTTTCTTTTTGCTTTTTTTTGTTTTTATTGTGGAGGTCCCCACTTTAAACACTACTTTTAAATTTCAGCCTAAAATTAAAAAGAGAAGTTGAAATCCTGTAAATAATTCCAGGGTGAAATCCGTTTGGATTTGATTCCTTGATCTGATTTCGGAATTTTCCTTTCAAAGTGTTTCCTAATCAACTTCTTTGTCGTTGATTTTATAGATATGGATTGTTTGAAATAATCTATTTGATCTGCTTACAACTATACTAATCTCAAAGTGCTCTAAGAAGAAGCAATCCTGCATCTTCTCTCACACACCATCTTTGTTTCCTGCTTTGGCTGCAACAAAATCTACCTGTATATTTGTGAGATAAAAGCCTTTTCCCACTACTTGAACTCTATTCACAGGAACAGGAACATCCCTGTGCAACCCTCTACCCTTATCATCCTCTTTTTGAATATTGAGTGGTAAACTTTAAAAATCCGACCTTCAAAATGATCAGTAGCAAAAATGGACACCGTAAGTAGTTCTGTCTTTTCTAAGCAAAGACCCTCATATTTCTAAAACTTTGTTATATACATATATACTTAGACACACACACACACACGCACACGCACGCACGCACACACACATAATCTTACTTATTATAAAACGCAGATTGTGTGTGTGTGTGTGTGTGTGTCTGTACGTTTATATATTGGATCAGATTTCCTACATTTTTCAACTGCTTTCAACAAAACTTCACAGGACTGCGTAAAATTACCTTGTGGTGGTTCTGACAGTGCCAAAAATTGGAAAAACACAATTGTTTTTGCATGAAATCAATTTGAAAACACGATAAAACACGATTCTGTCACCAGAATGAAAGGGGGACAACTCATATCGAGTTATACTTATTATAAAACCCAGGTTGTTTGTGTGTGTGTTCGTTTATATATGGGATCGGATTTCCTACATTTTTCAACCGATTTCAACAAAATTTCACTTTTTTTGGCAGGTAGTGTTTCTTATTGTCTTGCACACTTTTTTCTTTATTTTTACATTCAGAATGCTTTTAAAATTCCATTTACAAGACAATTGTTTATAATAAAATTCTATTCAATCGATAGACTTATAACGATTGAAAACAATGTTTTTGTTTGAGTTTGGGTTTGACCAATTTGTAAAAAAAAACAAAAAAAAAAACAATTAAGACATGCATGTCCATCAACTTTAAACAATAATCTTTGTCAATTTTATTTTTCAGTCTTTATGATGGTCGATACTTGATCTATCTCTTACTGTTACATCCCCAGGCAACGCTGGGCTCTATTGCTAGTATATATATATAGTAACAATAGTAATAATAACATCACATTTCTACACTTATTAACCACACACACACACACACACACACACACACACACACACACACACACACATATATATATGTCTACTACAAAATATAGGTGTGTAGTTAGAACGTTCGTTTTCCGGATCACACAATGGTCGATTTGTCAGAAAGGTGATGTTAACGGTCTGGAGGAGGTGATTCCAGTATGTGGCACCTTTAGAAAGGGCTTGAAAATTATACCCATGGGTTGCCTCAAACATTGTGAGTGAAATTGGTTTGATGGAACTCTTTAGAAGCCGCTAATGGTTGTGTTAGAACGAAGTCATAAGTCATTGTGACCGAAGATTTGAGCGTACTAGTGTTGTTCAAACTGCTGCGTTCTTTTCCATAAAGTATAACTAATATCCGATCAGCATCGTATAAACCACAGGTAGACACTGTGAGTGTTGAACAAATACAAATGTGCCTGAGCGGGCGTCTGCCAAAGGGATTGGTTAGCCACCCTAGAAAACGAGTGTACTCGGAAAACGAGTAACCGGCCGTTATACCGCAAAAGTCGCCTACCGTTACCAAAGAGAATGCAAAACCTTATAAGATTGAGAAGGAAACGTATTTGTTGAGGGTGGATCAAGCGATGACATTGTTCGACATTGAGTCAAAGCCATCATTTATGTTATAGTAAAGAGAAAACGATATATACATTTTTAAAGAACAAAAACTATGACAAAGTGTTTTCGTTTGACGCGTTTTGTTCATTAGGTCTTCGTCTATTAGACTTTCGTCGAACTCACGAAAGTAATTTTATGTTGATGCGGCTACACATACGCAAGAATAAAAGAAGACTGATAATTTTGAATTAAAATTAAAACCTTTTTAAAAATATATATTTTAGGTACTGCCACGTACTTTCTAAAAAGAAAAAAGAAAAGAAACAACACCAAAAAACGCATTTTAAATTCATTCTTTGAACTTAAATTACAGCTCTATTTGAGAGATAAAAGGAAAACTAATCCGAATTAAAAGAGAATTAATTTCCGGATAAAATAAACGTTTTAGGCATGTTTAAAACATTGGCACGTTTTCTGTCACTTATCGACTATCGAGCCATTATTGTATACGAAAATGTAAACAACAAATTTTAAATTCTCTTTAAAATCCAATATCTCTCCTAGAGATGTTTCTAAATCTATTAGTAAATTTAAGGATTAATTAACTGGATTTTCTAAAAGTAATGTTCACCTTTTTTTTATTATTTAAAACAGAATAAAAATAATGTTTTATTTATGCACGGTAGCCTGTGAAGTCAAAGGACAAAATAGAAACACTGCAATTCTACACCAGTCCGAAAAAAACGCGCGAAAAAGTAAAAAAATAAAGCTCGAAGAAATACAGAAGACCAGCAGTGCAATAATGTAGAATTTGTTATTTATGTTTATTAAGAAATGTTCTTTAACCTTATATAAATAATAGTTTAAGAATAATTATTATTTTTATTCTATTTTTACGCTTTTATTAAAAACTTAGCATAATGAATAAATTTATAGGCATTAAAGCGTGACCAAAATAAAATATAGCGTAAATGTAATTTGCGTTTAGATTTTATTGTGAAAAGAAAAAAACAACATTTATTCTAAGAGTAAATTTTAGAAAAATTACAATAAAGTATTCTTTTGTGTAAATGAAATAGTTCGTAATTTTGAAAATTTTCGTAGTAGCGAGTGGAACAAATTATGCAAGAAAAAATAAGACAAAGATTTGTTTTTGAAATAATGAAACCTTAAAATAACATTAAAAACTTACGTTTAATTAATGAAATAAGTATTGGTTCTTCTTGTATACAAGAATCTGTAAATAAATGCAGGAAAACAGAGACGCGAAAAAAAAAAATGTAAAAACCCGTATACAAAAACTGACTGAAAGAGAGATATGAAATATGATTAATTTAATACTCTTCCAATATTGAATAATAATAGTCAGTCAAAGCGAGATATGAGAATTATTTCTCTTTTGTATATATACATAATAATATAATAACAGTTGCAAAAAGGAAAAAAAATAAAATAAATTCCTTTTAAAAATGTTCACATTCTAAAATGGTATTCTAAACTTGAAATTTTTTTAATCTTCAAGCATGTCTTCATTATTTAATAAAATAAAATCTTGCGACAAACAGCATGAATTTGTAGGAAGTAGCCTGGTATTGAACTCACAACTCTTTGGGTCTAGTCACTGGATCTAACCAACGTCTTTATCCTTTAGGATACATGGCTCAGTGCTACAGCAATGGTAAACCAAAAGACTTGAATAATTGAGTTAAAGGGAAATAACTGAGACATCCGAAAGAGGCATGAAACGTGGAACTAGAACAATCTACCCCAGTGGACGAAATAAAAGGTTCGATTCGAAATTCCAATCACCTGAAGAAGGCCGGAGCGTACAACGGCCGAAACGTTGTGAATATGGCAATGAAGATGAGAATAACATTACGAACAATGTAAATAATGTAAATAATCCTAATACCTCATCTCAGAGATATTGGAAGAATTGAAATATGAAACGAGAAAAAAATTGTATTTTTTTTTATTTCTGATAAACAGAAACGCATATAAGAAATATGAGTCCACAAAAAAGGCCGAAATGTAAAACAGTAGAAAAAATTTTGTTCTTGAAAAGTTGACTGCGAATGTAAGTGAAACCAGAATACTAAGAGTAAACAAAAGGAATTGCCGA